GTCCTTTATTATACATATAAACCTTCCTCGTGCATCACTCTATATATATTGATAATAACCACATGAAAAATCGCTGTCTAGTTTCAAAGATCTCGGCGTACAGACAGCGACTTTATTTAATAATTTAAATAGATTAGATTATGTACACTGCTCAGATTCCAATATAAGTAGCTAAAACTCTAGTATTACGGATTATCTGAAACCACGAAGGCACCAGAACACGCAAATCCGAAATAATAGAGAAAGTTAATTTTCTACTCAGGGTCATTCCCGACCGGAAAATTAACTTGAGACCTTAAAAATGAAGTGAGACCTTGAAATCGGCGTGCGAACCAATAAAATAATAATACTTTTTATCACTTTTATTGATTTTTATTAAAAAAAAAACAAATTATCAGTACTAGTAAAGCAAAAAAGTGACAAACTAATTGTGTACCGAGATAAACATGAATACATAAAAAGGACACCGCAGACACTTTACGGACAGGATCTCATTACAGAAGAGTGCTAAAAAGGAAAAATAAATAGTGGATCTCTCCATAAAACCAATAAAAACCTCGGTGGTCCAAATCCCGTTTGATATCCCGGGAAACTTGGCAGAATAAATTTTCAAACAGACAAGCTCTGACGTAGGAAAGGAATTCGAATGGCATTAGATTTACTTATTCATTGAGCACGTCCGAATTATGGCTCTGATCAATGAACCTGTCTGAAATCAATCTCAGGTGAATATGCGAGAATTCAATCGGATTCATTGCTTTCGATATTAAATGGAAACATCACGATTAAAAAAATTTCACTGGAAATATTTTGCATTCACAATTGTTAAAATGGTTATAAATACTTTAAATTATTATTTTCTAATATTTTTTGTATATAATACGAACAATACTTGATTACTTACTAACTTCTTATGTATATGTTTTTATTTATGAGATCATTCATATATTACTTAAGATTTTACATATTTAATTCATGTTTCTTTGATTTGTCATTAATACACAATTTTAAATAACATAACACTAAATATCTATAACTACTGTTTTCGTGCGACTATGCCCGCTTAAAGTAATTTCGGAGTCTATTATATGCAAACAAACAGCAAAATATTTCCTATTTATAATATTATGGTATAGATGACTAAACCTAGTTTAAATATTCAAAATATTAGTATCTTTAATGAAAATGCTTAAATAATCCATCAGCACCAGGTACCACGAGATGGGACACGAACCCAAAACCTTTGGCAATCTGGTTGACTGCTGTAACCATCGAGGTACTCGAGATCCAATAATTCTGTCCCATCCATTTCAGATTTCATAAAAATCCATTTTTGTATATATTATATAGAGATATCAGATGAAATATATTCATTATATTCACAATTCACAATTCTATACTGAAAAATATTCTTAAAGATAAATGTTTAAAAAATCCATTTTCCCTGGTTTATCTCAGAGAACCTTGGACAAAGTGGATTCTTTAAGCATTTTCCATTAAAAATATGAAATGTATTATTAGCAAAATCGATTCAAAAAAACCTATTTGAGGCATTTTTTGCTATCGAACCAATTATTGAAATTTATGTTTCTGTTTTTTGCAAACATCGATCGTATGATTAAATGTTATACCTCTAATATGATATTTATTTGATAAATATTAGCATAGTCAGAATATAATTGCTTTAAAAAGTGGTAATTTCGTAATATTTTCCAGCATAACATTGTGAATACATAATTGATCAGATATAAATATTAAAAGCATATTTTTATGGTGCTAATTTCACGATTATGTCACGATTAATATATTATATGTATCTACATTTAATATATTTGTAATACTTAAATGGTATGGTCGCCGGAAAAAATGTTTGCTGAACAGTGCGCGACCCGAATCGCTTTTACGATTCCGGATAACAATAAACATCCCAAGTTATCCGCCCCTAGTATACCTACTTGCAAGCAAAAAAACTATTTATTCCGTTTCCACAGTTGTCTTAAGCCACATTTACATTTGTGAAAGTACTATTTCAAAAAAACTAACCAACTTATAAAAGGAGGTTTATAGTTAATACTTATGTGAATTGACAATGACAGAAGAAGAAACGTCAAATTGAAACATGTTGACTTATTTTGGTCGAATAATGATTAAAATCTGGTACTAAAGTAAGTCTTTGTTTGTAAGACTGTAAGTATTTTATAATAAGTAATTTAAGTACATATGATCCTTGCCTCGGGAGCTCGATCGTGCAGTGGTTAGGGCATTCGTTCTGATACGAATGTTGTTTAACTCATGATTTATAGGATGTGTGACCAGAAATGTATTACTTTAACCTCTTCCGCGCTTCAGAAGACACGTGTTGGCTCCGGTTGGGTCTGCAGTCGTTAATAACTAACAATCCGCACTGGGGCAGCGTGATTGGGGTATTAATTATTTAATATTCGATTCTATCTATAGTGAAGACCTGTGCCCTAATATTAAGATCCAGGCAGGTTCCAAGGTCATTAGACGAATCCGATGTAAAGATCGTCGTTAACATCACCAGTCTATTAAAATGCGTTAAATCTAGATACAATTTAGTTCACTTGGCAAAGGTTGCCTGAAAGAAATTACTTTTTAATGATATGTTTTACGGTCATTACTGTAATGGTACTAATAAAGTTTGTGAATGACCCTTACCCTCCAACTGGAAATCCAATTAACTGCAAGGTCAAGGAAATGTTTTCGTGGATAAACGGGAATGTAAAGAAGTTACCGTAATATACCTACAGTTTCTCCAGACTTTATATAAATACTTACATGAATGAATAGAATTAATGATTAGGATTTACACATCATTTTACGCGTAGTTTTCCAGTTAGCCAATTCTACTATTTTTTACAATAGATAATAAATCTCAACTACAATATTTTGCCATTGTACCTGAAGTCCGATATTATTAAGTATCTGTCACCATTGATTTTTGAGGAAGACATAGCACTAATAATATTGGAATTCAGGTAGATAGCACATTGGCAAAATGTTGGAGTTGAGATTCTGTTGAAGTGAGATCATAACATAAATATTAGCAGATTGTCCTGCGGGCCACGCACACGGAACACTACAGAGTAACTACATAGCTCTGTCATAATATCAGCGTCGTTACTGTGATAGTGTCCGACCGAATGTTCGGTTTCGGTTGAGTTTCGGCATAAAAAAGAGTTTCGGTTTAACTTTGGTTTTGGTGGAAAACCTGCTGAAACTAGGGGTCATCCATAAATTACGTCACACTTTAGGAGGACGTTAGAACAATATTTAGTGGAATTTATATAGATAAATAGGAGACAGGAGGGGGGGGGTGTTAAAAATCCTTAATTTTGTGTTCGGTTCTAGCACTCCGATCCGTTGGTTTTGTGAATCGGTATCTAATAAGTATTCAGGTACATAGATTATTGTATTATCAAGTTTAACGATACTATAAGTTTATAATTTACTAATTTAACCTTAAGTTAAGAATACAAAATAAATTAACATGAAGTTAATTACTTAAATAATAAAATAGATATGCTTTTTTGAAATCCATAGGCTTAGAACAAGCGTTTTAATTCTACACCCATATTATAGTATAAAAATGTGTTTTTTTAACAAGTACAATGGCTTTTTACGGCAGCCATGTTTGATTTTCCTTAACATCATATATCTTGGACACTTGGACTAAAACAAAACTAACGATACTTCAATTATGTAAATTAATTTAGCAGTTTCCAGAAGGAGGATAAGGTAATAAAGAATATTACATACATACACGCGAAAAACATAACCCTTCCTTTGTTGTCGGATAAAAAAAAACACTGACTGATTATAATAACGTTTTCTTTATTTTTCCTTCAAAACATGATTCTCTTAAAGAAGTTTCGGTTTCGGTCTTCAAAACCAGTTTCGGACTGACACTAGTGATAAAACACAGTAGCGACATCATCTGAGACAGGGTCCTAATTGGCCTTCACATTATGTATATAAGTATTTATTATATATAGTTTATTTAGGCTATTAATTTATCTTTGTTATTATTTGACCTTCTCTCTTTAACTTTTATTTATAATGTGGTATATGTCAGTAAAAATATTTTTCTACGTAGGGCATGTTTGAGTTTGTCAAGGTTTAAATCATGTTTAAATTCTTTGGTTCTTGGTGGTTTAACTAATCAACCTAATCTATCGTTAAATAATCATCCTAAAATATACTTAATAAATTAAATTAAATTAATGAGAAAAAGTTCCGGGTCGTTTAGAAAAACTTCGAATACTCTCAAAGTATGAAATATTTAAGAGTAATAAAAAGGGTGAAATTAATTTTCAAACGCATTATATATTCTCGTTTATCTACAACTTATTTGAATTTGCTATGTTGGAAATTTTGGAAGATATCACTAAGACTATTTATCCATAGTTTTTTTTAGTTTTGTCTTCAGAAAAAAATGTATTATTAATTATTTGGACAAATCCCTTAGAGATAATTATGGTTCTCAGCAATCATTATTTCATTGTTAGGCTTTAACTACCTACGCATAACGGAAACGAAAATACATAGTTTAAATGAAGCAGTTTGGACATAAAAAATTTCAATAGGTATGATAACTAATTTTTGTTTGATTGTAGATTATTGAAAAATATTAAACACGCATTTTTTATTTTTAGTTTGAGTTGAAATATCGCATGACGTCACAGCTTTGTATATTTTCTAGATTTCGTACGTATTATCTGACTGACGGACTAGTAAATAATGGTAACAAAAAATAAAGAGCTCAAAATAAGGTTACTTAAAATATAGTAAAATTAAAAAAAAAACAGAACAGAAACAAAAAGCAACTTGACACATAGGTATCATGACGAAAAAGAAATTAGGTAAACCTATTTACACAGCCCGGTTCGATGGCCAGTTCGTAGCAATATGGCATTGTGAATGTAAAATTTAAAAATATGAGTTTTTTTTTTTCAAAATAAGTATGACCTTTTTTCCAGGATGCCTCGGTGCACTGTCAGCGGGTGTGGCGCTCGCCCTGTCCCCAGTGACGGTAGCTTTGTGCGTGAGAAAGTCTACGCGAGTGACTGCCGTCGTCGGAGGCCTGGTTGCAGCGCTGGGGTGCCTCTTCACATCCTTCGCGACACAGTTTCACCAACTCTTTTTCAGTTATGGTAAGTTATTGTGATCATTTAGGTACATCATTATGGCAGCCACATTGCTGTCTATCGGAGTGTACCTGTGAAGATAGGTTAGATTAGGGGGCATCAATTTTCCGCACTTAGACGCTTTAATAGGTTGATTGTGCGTGAGAACTGTGAAGATATACTATTTAATTTTGAAATATATCATAATCCCTTTCATAGGTATAGCGATTTATGCTTCACTCGTTTTAAAGATACAAAAAGGACCTACAAAGTCGGGCTGAGGTTTTATACAGTTAATTAAATTAAACCGCTTCTAAGGTAAGTATTATTTTTCACTTTTTTAATTTTGAAATCGGTGCCATTTTATTTTAGTTTTTATTTCATTCATTTTAGTGACATTTTGAGTTTTGGGATAACAACCATCACGCATACTTAATACAAATTGAAGACGTGTATGTTTTTCTTGAATTTTTATAAATTTTAATATGATTGGTCAAAATTAAAATGGGACCACTCGGCAAGCATCATCAAAATCGGTTCACCCAATAAAGAGTTATGAGGTAACAAACAAGAAAAAAAAATACAGTCGAATTGAGAACCTCCTCCTTTTTTTACCGACTTAATTCCGACTTATATATTTTCGGTGTATTTTATCATTAAAACGGTAAAACTAAAAAAGCGAAATTCAACTACGCAATTGAACTACGATAATGATATAATTGATATCAAAACTTCTGTAAAATTATTCTAAAAACTAATTACTATAATAAATAATAAGAGATATGTTGACATTCCTGTGTTTTATAACACTATCTTCATTCTTACGTCATGTTTCATAGAAATAAATATACAAGAAGAATATTGAGACTTCGACGAAATGTGTCGATTAGGCCTAGACTTTAGATTTTCATGTTAAATAGGCGTGGTCGAATAAATCAAGTGTCATGGGGATATGGGCGTGTATCTGTTGCGGTCAGTTGCTCCTACACTAAACAACAGTTTTAGACTGTTTGTGACCACTAATAGTAATGGTGTTCATATATTTTAAGCTTTATATAACACTAGCTGTTTTCACGCGACTTCGCCTTCGTTATAGCCAATATCAATCGCGTATGATATGGCTTGATGTACCTATGGCTTTTTAAAATTGGTCCTAATGTTTTTGAGCCTTTTTGATGCAAATAAACAATGAAATCTTTCTTCTTTATAATATTACTTTAGATTTATTTATTTAAGCTTTGAATAGGGTTTGCTTTGTTGGCTTAATCACTAGTTTTCAATGCTCAACTTAGTCAAAGGAAATATTTTTAATGAGAAATTCAATCCCAGGTACTCTGATATGGGACTCGAACTTGAGACCTTTCGCAATCTGAGCGACTGCTCATTAACTAACATTGCAAAAGGTCGTGTAATTTTTAAATGTATTTTAACAATCAATTTCGCATTTTAAAATAAAAAATGCTTAAAAATCCAACAGGCTCGAATCCACGAGTCTTCGCAATCCGAGGACTGCTCTAAACACTGAACTACCCGGGACTTAACAGACTTAGAATTATTTTAAACATTTTTCAATACGAATTTAATAAAAAATGTTGTCTGTCTTTTTAGTAACCCTATGGAACACCCTCGGTACTTATTCGTGTAATCGTTAAGCGTACTTTTCTCCCATGGCCATCTCAATAAAAGTAACGATCTACCAGAGTTATTTATTGATCTATAAATTACTTTAAGTATTTCCTGAGGTGTTAATTGACACTTCCAATTCATTTTTAACTTGATAGAATAACTTAAGCACCGAAATCAATTGAAGATTTCTAATTGAAAATCTAAAAATAATTACCATACAGATGACAAATTATTGTAAATCTATTGATTTCTTATATTTTCACGCGCACTATTATACTTTTAATTAAAAAGCCAATCAACATCTAAGTCTTATGTAAACACGGAACCTGTTAAGAGTATAGCTACCTCAAAACAATACTATTGGACACATTCACAATACAATTTTTTTATATTTGATGGACACCTTTATTTCTTTTTATGTCCAGTCCTCATTTATGCACATGTCTACCAGTACAGGACTGCATTGATATAACTATCAGAAGCCTGGTTCAACAATCTACGCCAATTGAATATGCAAAATTAGTGAAACATTAGAATGGGATGGTGAATTCTATTTACAAATTTATTTGTTTGTTAGATTATGGGGGATCTTTGGAAATACTGTACTAAATCTGATCATGCAAATTATTTCACCTACAGGAAGCTGCAACACAAATGGGTAACATAGGCTATAATTTACGCGCGGGAAAAGAGCTAGATTTTTGTAAATTACTAGACTTTCGCGCAACTTTGCTCACGTTAATTAGAGCCTGTGCACCCACGTATGATGTACGCTTTAATTATAAAAGTATAATCAAAGAGTGAAGATTCCTGTAGGTGAATAATTTTGTATAGTCAGTGCAGTAGTTTAGTATTCTATAAATGCAAACAAACAAACCATACTTCTTTACAATATTAGAAAGTACAAATAATAAATGATATTATGGAGTTACTCTTGATGGCAAAATATAAATTATTTAGTTATGTAGCTTTGCCATCCCATATACGCCCGTCATATTTTGCGTCCACTTGTTAATAATTCTGTTTCTTATAATTTTAACTTTCGTAAAGAAAAATTAAGCAAATGTCGAAGTCTGTTTTATTTAAAAAAGTAAAAGTAACTTAATAATTTTGAATAACACGAAACGTGTTAAAAATTGTTTTATTTGAGTTTAAATAAACCTTCAATATCTTAAGTTCAGTCTTTATCTAAGTAAATATAATTAAAACATTAAAGCCGTCATTGCTGTATAGTTTTAAAGTAGCAAAGGGTAAAGCGAAAACCCAATTATTATGACTTCGCAGTTTCATGAACCATCAAAGTTAGACAGTTGAAATTGTCACAGATGATGTATTTCTGTTACCGCTTGAACAACAAATATTAAAAACCAGAATGTACGATATTAAGCAGGGGTTGGCGTCTCACCGCAAGCGATCCTTTACCGCCACGGGCTCCAAGGGCTAGGTCTGGAAAGGGGTGCGTCGATGCGGTTACCAGCGAAGATATCATACACGGTATATAGTCCATAGGCTTTAGGCGTAAGGAATTTGAACTCGCAGTAAAAAACCGTCACCCAAGGATTAAGGGTGGGGATTTGGAACGATGACAGCTAATCGCCCCACCAGTACATATAAAAAATTTACCCACAGTTATGTTGTCCTTTATAATTAACAAGTTACCTGTTTCGTTAAGGAACACGGAATAAAATAAATATTTTACGGGGCCCCTATGCAATAAACGTGATTTGTTTGGTCGATTTCTATACGGAACCCCACGTGCGAGATTCAGACTCGCACTTGGACGGTTATTATATCAGATTTCAATATTGAATACTGAATTTGGCATCTGAACAATGTATGTGATGTAGTTCCATCGTAAGTTTTAAACAAAAACCGCTATTGGATAAAACAACATTTACCTTAATTAAATGGACGTCAAGTCAAGGCGTACAATTAATTGATTCATTAATTCAACATTACACGGCTACCTTAAACCAGCGGAACCTCAATGCATCCGTAAACGGAATGCATGCGGATCTGACGGCTCAATTTATTTCATCAGATCCTATTCTGAAACTCGTTTTATCCAACTTCAAAGCTTCACGTTAATTGGTTCTCTGAATAAGCGGGCGGATGCACAACAACGCCACCGTGATATCTGAGATCAAACATAGTGTACAGTACAGCCAGTCTTTTGCAACATTTTTGCATGACTGCCCAAAAAAAAGAGTGTACTGTGTTTAAGGTTAATGTATGTATGTGAGTGTCTTTATTGCACCATAACTTTTGAAATACTTAACGATTATTAACGTATAGGTTATCATTAGAGACCTTACATCATCATCTCAAATAACACTGGGTAATATATTTTTTTCATTTTCAACATGCTTGAAATATGTCATTTAAAAAATATGAAAAAATGATATTTCTTCAATTATTGTTATATTTGGATGACAAATTAAAGGTTTCGATGAGTACATTCCAATAATGTATTCTTTGTATACATTTACGGGGCACTAAAAGGAATAAAATAAAATGACGATGATAACAAAGTAATTATAATAGTAGGTGCAGAACGATTAATTCATAGCTTTTGTAACATTTTGAACTTTTCACGATCCATATCTTATTTTTATTATGACCGATGGAGATAGAGTTTATGAGACATTCTGCTTCGAGGAGCGAAAATTTTATTACCTACTCTTCCTAAAATATGTAATTGCTGTGACAGTTCCTTTTACAAGTATTATTTACGTTATTTCTTTTAAAAAAGGTTTTATTACATTCTAATATCAAGGGATTTTCAGACGTGTCCATCTGTGCCTCGATGTTTGTTGACTTTATTTTTAATGGTAGTATTTCTTCTTAAATTTAGAAGTAGGCATATCCTGGAATTATAAATTATTATCTTAGTCCACCCACTAAACTGAATTGCTAATTCAGTCTTTTTATCGTGCTGCTTCAATATCTTTTCTATTGTTGTTGTAAATAAACACAAATAAAAATCTCACAAGTATAAAAATCTAAAAATCTCACTGGATTCATGTAATAATATTATTAGTAGCACACGAAAAACAGATACCCTAATTTCCTGTAACTATTAATGATAAATTCACCAATTGAGAACTGCTGAAACGGTTTTTTTAGTAGTCCAATACGGTTTATAGGAAAATAATAAACAGAAGTCCGGAAAATTCGGCTAAATAAAATAAATAAATTTAGGTAATAGGGAATTGGACGATACACTAAAAATGTTTTAAGTAAACATTACGCTTGTTCCTACAGAGAATATTATTTTATGTCATACCTACGCCCGTAGCCGAGTAGCTCGCTTCGTACTATTCTAGTCTTTAAGTTTCAAGAACTTTTTACCCAAGTTTATTTTTTATGTTTGCTGTTCTATCTATTTAAATATTAAAATT